CGGTGGTGACTGCTCGCAAATAGACATGGATAATTCGACAGCCTATACTGAAGCGGGTCCATGATTGATTTTTGAACCTCTGGTTTGCTTGGCTTATCTGTCGCTAGGCACTGCATTGACTGAAATAGACTGAAATTAGTCTAGGCTCTGGTCTATACACCTATAATCAGACTAGTGTAGTCTGAATCTTCTTCCGCATGGTTACTTCGCATCTGTCTATTTTTTACGAATTGCACGGGGACTTCGTACGAGAAAGCTTCCGAACTCGGGGGAAACCTGCATCTAACCAAGAACAAGGTGCTGCAAGGGGGTGCGGAAAGGAAAGTCAATTGAGATTTCGAGATTGAGGTTCTAGGTCTGTGCTACACAAAATTCTTCCTGGCGCTGACAGGATCGGAAACGAGATCTAAGATTATGACTATTATTATTGTTATGGTTAGGAATCAATTAAAGGGGGCTTGGTGTCAAACTGGTACCGTGTCAGGGCTGGGCGTGAGCGGGGGTTGGAAGGCACTAACTCAGAGAGTAGTAGTATAGTAGAAAGAGAGAGAGCGAGAAAGGTTGAGAGGGTGAGAGGGTGAGAGGGTGAGAGGGTGAGAGAACGAGGAAAGTGACTCTCGGCCGCGTGCAGCTAAGGCTGCGCTGCGCTGAGTGCGCACTGCACTCAGGTGAGCTTTAGTGCTGTTCCTAGTCTATTATTCCCTGTTCCCACTTCCCACTTTCCCGCCCCGTCCGTCCGTCTTCTCCATCTCCAACTACGTACTCCGTACTCCGTACCTGTCTGTCTGTCTCTTCTGGTCTTTGCGCATCCTCAGCACGCCCAGTGCAGCTTGAATTGATCTCGATCGTTTCTACTTGATCCTACACTCGCTCAATTCCGCATTTCTCATTTCAGTTCGTGTCCTGTCATTCGATCCTATTCGACGGAGTATGGCGTGGTGGTAGAGCACCCGCACGGCATGCTAATTGGGGAAACCGCCTGAGTGTTCCAGTTCGAGGTTCGTCTATGCGGGCGGGCGGGGTTGGTTTGGTTCCTTTCGCTCCCTAACGTCAGTCAATCTTTCATTTGAGTGAGGGGGATCCTCGTTATCCTCCTTCTCCTCCTCCGCACCCGTACTACGGTACCGTACCTACCACTAACTAACTTAGATTAACTAAGTTGACTGACTTACTGACGACGACCCCCCCCCCCGGTCGCAGCACCTCGAAAGGTGCATCTCGTGCCCCAAGCTCCTTTTTCCGCTTCTTTGTCTTTTCTTCTTCCCTTCTTCTACCTTCGCTCTCGTTGTATTTGGTCGCTTTTTCTTATCGCTATACTTGTCCTCCTTGCTGGTCCATTCTACGGACTGCGCGGCGTTGACCACTAGCCGCAATGGCGCTCGCCGAAAGCGCTGTGTACTGCACGGTATGTTTGTTCCCTTACTACGGAGGTACTTCCCCCGTTCCATTTCCGTCACCCAATTTACTGATCGTCCGTTATGACTTCTAGCTCCTGTTGAGTGATCATTATCTTCCGGGTATTCTCATGGCGCCTTCTATTCTAACATACTGTTGGGGTCGTTCTCTCTGATTGTCCGATCTTCCTTTCCTATAGGTGCCGTGGTGCTTGCACATTCCCTGCGCGACAATGGGTCAAAGGCCAAGCTCGTTGCGCTCTACACTCCTGATAGCTTGCAGCCGGCCACCATCCAGGAACTTGAGGTATGCGTTTCGCACATATCAATTTCATTTCTTCTCTTTTTGAGCTTTTCATGCAAAGATCGTCCATAGCTCCGTCTGGAACGTTGCTGAAAGAGTCCTTGACCTAGATTGTGTACGACGAAATAATTCCTGTGAATCCGCTGACCAACCTGACCCCGGCAAATCTTTGGCTTATGGACCGACCGGATCTTATTGCCACTTTCACCAAGATCGAGTTATGGCGCCAAACACAGTTCAAGCGCATTGTTTACCTCGATTGCGACATTGTCGCGGTCAGAGCTCCCAATGAGCTTTTGGAGTTGGATATCGACTTCGCGGCCGCTCCAGATGTGGGCTGGCCTGATTGCTTCAACAGTGGGGTCATGGTGCTTCGTCCCAACTTGCAGGACTACTTTGCGCTGAGAGCGCTTGCGGAGCGAGGCATCAGTTTCGATGGCGCCGATCAAGGGTTGCTGAACATGCACTTTCGTGATTGGCATCGGCTGAGCTTCACGTATAATTGCACTCCCAGCGCCAACTACCAGTACATTCCGGCCTACAACCACTTCCAAAGTACTATCAGCATGATTCATTTCATTGGCGCTCAGAAGCCGTGGAATATGGGCCGACAGGTGCAACCCGTGGAGTCCCCGTACAACAAATTGCTCGGACGTTGGTGGGCTGTGTATGATAGTCACTACCGTCCGGTTGTGAGCGTGAGTATCTCAGTTTCGTGCTCAAGGTCCTGACAGCTAATGCTGGTACAGATACCTGTTGATGTAACGGGGAAAAGGTTTCTTACGGCGCAGACTCAATTGGGAGGCTCGACGGGAGAGAGGGCGGCGCTGACACATGGCCAACGTTATTCATATGCTCAAGATCTTGCAACTACGGTTGCGCATGCCAATGCGCCGCACTCGCAGAGATCACACCCAGGACAAGACACAGAGCCTTTCTCGGAGCCCCAACAAGCAGTGCCAACTGAGAATACTGGCTCGGTTTCTCATTATGCATCCTATGGCACTTCTGAGAGCTCGGATACACATGTCCCTCAGCAGAAGTCTATCGAGTCAGCGGGAGCTGGAACCTCTCAGGGAAGTACATCGCCGGGTCCAGAGCAACACACAGCTGGACAGCACGAGGAGCCACATTATGACGAACCGCATCATGATCTAGGTCGACACGACACGGTTTATCAAGACATGCCTTACTCGGGTGGATCCTATCATGAGTCAGGATACCACGGTGCGCATGGTGTAGCAGAGGAAGAAGCACATCACGGGGACAGAACCCACGGGGGTGAGCACCAAGAGAAAACACCCCACTCTCAGACACATCGTTGGGAGGCGCAGCATGAGCACACCCACCACGAGACAGGACACCATGGGGCAGGTCACCACGGGGAAAGTCACCACGGGGAAAGTCACCACGGGGTAGAGCACCAAGAGAGACATGTACACGTCCCCCCTCCTTTTCGGAGTGCGGTTCCGCAATACGTCCGTGGAGAAGAGCATGTAGCGGCATATATCCACCCGCACTCTAATCAGACCACCTTTGCTGTACAAACTGAACCAGCTTTCCAGAGACAAGAAGGCAGTGTACGAGAGGCCTTGCCAAAGCCGTGGCAAGAACAAGCCCACCATTACCAGCAACCAGCAGAACCTCTTCCTGATCCGCAACATGGTCCACCGTCACCCAAGCCAGAAGCACAAACCTTTGAGCCTCCGAAAGCCGAATGGGATGCATCAAGGTACGTCTGTTTGACGAGCACCACTGTTTAAAACTGTTACTAACATACTTTAGGGAACCCCCACCACTGAACACCAAGCCAGAGGGCTTTGCTTTGGAGACGAAAACATATACCATGTCAGAGGACCGGCAACTTTTCCAACCGCCCCCGTCCTATCCGGAAGCGCCCAAGAACATGTATTATGAAGTGCCTAGCAAGAAACCTGAGCCAGAAAAGCTTGCGCAACTGTTCCCGTGGGAAAACAATGCTCCCAGACCGACCCGTGTATTTCCCGAAGACGACCAAACCTCGATAAGTACTATCCCGCGGTCTCTGCTGGAATCGACAGAAGGGGAGCCTGGCCCATCGTCACAAACGCGAGACACGACTTGGACATGGACCTCTGAAGAGCCGGCTGAATCATGGGAACATTATACTCGTTCCAATGCTTGGGACGAGGTCCCAGAAATTCAGCGCTATATATCTTCTCTGCAGCAGACTCGCAAAGGTCGGGTTCAGGTTCTCACGGGAGGCTCTTCAAGCACGGAAGCAAGGGATGTGCGGATTACGGACTTCCCCAGCGAGCAAGAACGGCCCAGCCTGCCCGTCACCCCAGCGCCCATCCGTCGGCGACCTGGCGAACTCTCCCCCTCTGATAACGACCTACTACCCTCAGCAGAAGGCGTGCCAAGCCAGGAGGACTGGGTGGGTATTACGGTCGATGCCTTTCTACAACTCCTTCGAGTGACGTACTTATATTGGAAATTTACAGAACCCTTCAGCCGGCCTCGAAGAGCTTCGAATACGTCGGTCCGAAGTCTTGGATCATTCAGATTTACTTTTCGAACGGATATTGAGCAGCAGATCGACTACTTCAGATCAAGTGCCTCCAAGCGAACGAACTAATGATTGATTGATTATTCTTTCCTAAGCATCGTTCTAGCAATGTTGATGATAGTTTAGCCTCTTCTTATCCTCGCAGACTTGCGCTACATTCTGCTCTTTTTCTATTACTTCATCACTCCATTTCGCAGTATGCATATTGTTCCTTCGCGATCATCATTGTTAAGCATTGGCATCTGTACAGTACCCCACGTCAAATTATGCATGTGCATTGATAGCAGTGTAAGTTCTTAAGCAGGTGCAAAGTCTCAGACTGTCATATGCCTTTGCATGAGGAGTTGGTTTTGTGCTTATCGTTATGTGGCATTGATCAGCGTCAATCTGTACTTCCATATTAATGATCGGTCTGACTGCGTCTGAGTTCAAATTAGTGAGCTATGTTTCTACAAAACAATTTGTTCCCCATCTGTCACTCCCAGTAGTAATCTCGAGAATGTGATGATGTTCGATATGCTAGAACGAAAGTAGAACAACATCAAGCAACAGGTAGTGACCTCAGTAGTCGATTCGAACTAGGGTTGATGCCTTCTGATGCCTGAGGCGGGAACCCCTCCATGTGACGTCCCAACGGACGAATGAAGTGGCGGGCACAATTTCAAAGATTGTATCTCCACCACCGTCGGACTCTTTGCGACTGACGTACCAACCAACCTCTTCACCAAGATTTTTGCTTCATTTTCTCGTCGACCACCCCACTGCCGATTAGCGGTCGATTTGCGCCAGGCGTTTACCGGGTACTTCCACCAAAAGCATAGACTTTGTTCCTTTTCATTCTACACTTTTTTTATTTTCTATTGTGCCGCATACGAGGGGTGAAACTCGTAACCAACCGCCAAAATGTCGACCACCGTGGAAAAGGTAGGATCTCGCTTCCTGAACGACAACCGTCTAGCTCCCAGTGCATTCTGCTAACGCTTGGTACTCGGTTTAGATCAAACAAATCGAAGATGAGGTTCGCGCCCCCTCTGCCCTCGCTTGACGACAGCGCTGCGCCAGGATGTGCACACTGACCGGTTTCCCCTTCCAGATGGCCAAGACGCAGAAGAACAAGGCTACGGCCTTTCACTTGGGTAGGATGCGATGATGTTTCCCGGAGCCAACTCGGGACGGGCGCTGACGAGAACCGTGCAGGTCAATTGAAGGCTAAGCTTGCGAAGCTGAAGCGAGAGCTGTTGACTCCGACCGGAGGAGGTGGTGGCGGCGGTGGTGGTAAGTAGTAGTCGTGGTGTTTCCCATGTCTTCCCGTGGAGAGAAGCGCTTGACACTGACACGATGATTTACAGCCGGCTTCGATGTTGCCCGTACCGGTGTCGCTAGTGTGTACGTCCTATCTATCCATTGAATCGAAAGAAGTACTTGTGGTTGGAATGACGAATGACTTATGCTGACATGGTTCGGGGGTAGTGGCTTCATTGGTTTCCCCTCCGTCGGAAAGAGTACCCTGATGAGCAGACTGACGGGGCAGCACTCGGAAGGTTGGTTTTTTTTTGTCCCTACATAACGGTAGCGAGGGTCGCGCTGGGCCGAGGCACATAATCGCTGACAATGACGACTTTGTGATATAGCTGCCGCTTACGAATTCACGACTTTGACGACTGTGCCCGGACAGGTCATGTACAACGGTGCGAAGATTCAGATTCTCGATCTCCCTGGTATTATTCAGGGTGCCAAGGATGGCAAGGGTCGTGGTCGTCAGGTCATTGCCGTGGCCAAGACCTGCCACCTGATCTTCATCGTGCTGGACGTTAACAAGCCGCTGCACGACAAGAAGATCATCGAGAACGAACTGGAAGGGTTTGGCATCAGAATCAATAAGCAACCCCCAAACATTGTTTTCAAGAAGAAGGACAAGGGTGGTATTGCCATCACGAGCACGGTTCCCTTGACGCATATCGATAACGACGTAAGTCTCCTTCTTTTTTGGGGGGGCATACAGTGTAGTCGCTGATGCAGCGCAGGAAATCAAAGCCGTCATGAGCGAGTACAAGATCTCCTCCGCGGACATTTCTATCAGATGCGATGCGACCATCGATGATCTCATTGATGTGCTGGAAGCCAAGAGTCGCGCCTACATTCCGGTGGTGTATGCTCTGAACAAGATCGATGCGATCACGATCCAGGAGCTGGACCTTCTGTACCGGATTCCCAACGCCTGCCCCATTAGCTCTGAACACGGATGGAACGTTGACGAGCTGCTGGAGATGATGTGGGAGAAACTCAACCTGCGCCGGGTCTACACCAAGCCCAAGGGCAAGACGCCGGATTACACGGCCCCCGTCGTTCTAAGAGCCAACGCCTGCACGGTCGAGGACTTCGTAAGGATTCTCCACATGATTAACACTTTCTGAAGGGGTCTGGACGTTCTAACGCGCAAACCAGTGTAATGCTATTCACCGTACGATCAAGGACCAGTTCAAGCACGCTATCGTCTATGGCCGCTCCGTCAAGCACCAACCGCAGCGTGTCGGTCTGTCACACGAGTTGGGAGATGAAGATATCGGTCCGTGCTTCTCCTTTTTACCCGTCATATTGGGATCTCCAAAGCTAACTTTAGTGGTTCTAATACAGTGTCCATCGTCAAGCGCTAATCGAGTCCGAACGCCATGTCAACCCTCCTGGAAGAGGATCCGCCCCTTAAGCGGAGCAGCGCAGTGGCGAATCGTGCACTCGAGCATGATCAACACAAATCGACTGTGGATTAAGGGGGAGAGGGGGGAAGGGGGAGAGCTTTGTGTTTCTCCGCTAAGTATAAAGCGCCCTCAAGAAAGAGCCCGGCCCTTGTGACAGATGATTTCCGTGAGATGGACCATAGGAATTGTGATTGGGGGAGGAGGAAGGAGACGGATTTGCGCACGGGCAGCATTGGAGAAGTCTGCCAAACGCCGCCCTGGGGAAAATCAACTCTCTACTCGTCAGGGACCTTCGCCCGGACCATGAGTCAGGATGAAGTTTTTTTTTTCTTTCCCCTTCGCCGCCCCTGATGATAGAGTGTTTTTGATACGCAATCCCGGTTTAGGAAGACGAATGTCTGAGTGATTTGATCGCTTGGTCAAAGGACGGACTGGACAGAGATGAGAATCTAAGACTGGACATAAGCTGGAATTTCTTTTAGGATTTTACTTATTTCTTGGGGATTAGCAAATACTTTAGGACCTGTCGATATATATCTACTATTTTTTTACTCTCTTCGTTCTTCCTATCCAAAACGTGCACTCGGGAGCTTAGTACGAGACTCTGATTGATTAGACTTCACATTTTTCCTCTTGTGCTTTTCGTGAGGATTCTGGTGATCATGTTGTGATGGTGGCGGGCATTGATTCTAGACCCCCGATCCTGAGGACTATTCCCAGCCTGTAGATACCAACTACTTAGTCCTGTAGTGTAGTTACATCCAGTATTTCGGCCCGGATGGACCGCTTTGACAGTGGTGAGCGAGGAGAAATGACGTTCCTAAAATTAAACCTCGAGGCCAAGTTTTGTTTTTTTCTCTTTAGTCTGTATTCGGAAATGAGGATATTCATACTACTAATAATGATATAATCAAAAAAAGCAAAGCCCCAAAAAAAGGAGGTATTAGTTCTATCAACTACCTATTAACTAGGTAGCTACTAGCTACACTAGCTACAACTAGCTCGGCTAGTGAATATGACGCACGTCCGTCCGCCTACTATACCTTAGATCGTACCTACTCTCCCTCTTTTCGCCAATGGTGTTTAATTGTTTTAATTTGGTACTTCTCCGTTGTGGGAATGACTAGATAGATGGATTGCTTTGATCTTTTACCTTATTCATCGTGAGGCGTGAGGGCAAGTGACTACGCTTTTGATTTCCCTTTTCTTTCTTTGGGCGTTGATTGGGTCTGAGACTCCATTTTTCGAGACTGAACGAGGCCAGGACGTGAGGACCGGGGAGGAGCCTGGAGCTGAGGATCGGACCGTCGACGTAATGCGTAAATATGGTGATCGACTTCCGTTCCCCCCCCCCCCCAAAAAAAGCACGGATCCTATAGCTAATGAGGCTATGTATCATTCAATATGTCTAAATATGTCCAAGTGGGGATCGGAACCTGTCTATATAGTCGTGAATCAGGGGAAGGGGAGGTAGGGTACCTGGGGGTGGTATCTAGTATCTTCGGATGCATACTTTCGCGTCTTATACATCTTGTGCCTGGCAGATAAGGAAGGCATTGGAGGGGTTGGGGGTCGGAAAAGTGTGTTTATCTTGCAGATTTCTACGATGTACTATCTTCTATGTACTGTATTGTAGGGAGGGGAAAGAAAGTTAAGCATTCTGTCTGCTCTTATGCTTTGGATTGGAGGTGGAGGTGGAGGTTGAAGGGGGGGGGGAGGTCTATTCCGCTGCTCATGCTCCGTGCATCCCTCCCTCCTGATCTAGGATGATAAGCCCCAGAATCCAATTCAAAAGTTTATACATGTAAATGGATCGCTACGTTCGACCCCAACGATCACTTGGTGGTCGAGTTTGTATACCATTTTTCAAGCCGGGGAGGTACAGTAAGGTAGTACTGTAGTCAGGGAGTAGAGTAGGTGGGTTTGTTTCTCTTTCCTCCTTGATTTGTGTTGCAATTCGATTGTCAATTTTGGTTTTTCTTTCGCGTCTTGCAGCCGGGCCCGAAAAAAACCCACAGTGAAAAATAGACAATCACTTAAATGATCAATCAATGGGCTTGAGACTGCGTTAAGAGTAACTACCAGGTGGTCTAGGAAGATGGGGGGGGGGGGGCTAGTCAGTTGGTGGATAGGGTAGGTTAGGTTAGATGCTGGACTGGGATCTGATATGGTAAAGAAAATCAAGTTGGTAAGGTATTTACCGGAGTCTAGTACTGTTCTGTAAAGCTCGTGACAACATTTGAATCTGGTTTCGGGCTTTGGGATGATGGTGAGGGAGAATCATGGGTTGGCCTTGTAAGGTCGGTGCCATTGGACCCGTCGATGTATAACTGTCATGAGATTATGCTAGTAGATTAGAGGTTGCGTTCGGGTAAATGCGATGGTGGATGGGCATTGTAGTACAAACGCTCTGGGACTTGGGCTTGGATTTTATGTTGTAGTGGTAGTTGTATCTGCGGTGTTGGTTGTGGTGTGGTTACTTTATGGTTGATCTCTGTTTAATTCTTTTGGGTGAAGTTGTAGGTGAGATGAGCTTCAACCTCCCTTGATACCATATGCTACCCACCTACCTACTACTGCTACCACTGGTTATACTACCCTCACAGCACCACTTGTGCGGTTCTCTGTGTCTCCCTCTCTGCTGGGCGCAGCCAAAGCAATGATGCAAGATATAGATCGAGTTCTAGAAATGTGGCTGCGCGCGCTTTTGCCCCCTCCATGTGTCCTGTCTTCGATCTACTCAAGTGCATTTGGACAGATCACAAGAGTACTCCGTACCTTTGGAAACAAAGGGTGCTATGCACGATGGTGGGAACCCGAAGGACAGGGAAGGGTTTACAATCCTGGGGAACCAGGATATACTATCGAGAAAGAAGCGGTCTGCGGGAGTGCGCCAGGAAAAGACGATGTCCTCGATATTATTAGTTCCCGGGAATTCCAAGTCCGGAGTACATGTCGCCATCGGATAGCTTGGTGTTTCTTCTCTCTGTGGTACTTCGCAGTCATCTTCCATGTGCTCCATGCGAGCTCTTGGGAAGTGGGGTGGCTGTTGTGGCGAGATCGCTTGCCCTTCGCTATGAAGAGTAGTAAATGACTTCGTGCTCCGCCGTAGGTAAGCTGTATTTATCCAATTAATTACTAGGGAGAGCAAAGCATGGCAAAGCATGGCAAAGCATGGTGGAGAACCCATGCTCTCTCTCTCTCTCTCTCTCTCTCTTTCTCTTCCCCTCCCCTCTTCTTCAGACACGTTCTGCACCCAAATGGTCTCATGTGGCCTGCAACTGAGGTGAGATTTCGCTGGTCAGCTGACCGATCAAGCACCGACAAACGTTGACTTCCCATCCCCCGGGCTGGTGGAGGCTGCATTGGATTGCATATCCTTTTATCTGTTTCCCCTCCTCTATCTCTCATCCGATTTGTCACCGATAGCCTCCTCTGCAGTTGGTCAAGCTTACAGAGTACTGTACAAACAGTACATACTTTCCAAGTCTTGCAACAAACAGCTTCTTGCTGACTTCCCCATCGTCGATTCGTTCCAATCTCTTCCCTTTCATTTTTATCCTGGGTACCGCGGATGTCGCCGATGTCGTCCAGACCGAATACCGCCACACAAACCGCCATGGCTTGGGGCTGGCCGACCTCTCACCCTTTCCCTGCAAGGGCGAAACAAAGGAACTGCTCTGCGGTCGAATTTACAAACCGACAAGTTGAGAAATGCTCGGATTGCTTGAATCCGACACAAAAAGAAAGAGCCTGGAGGGTGATGACGACCCCACGATGCGCGAATACGGGCTCGAGATTTTAGCTCTTGCATTGCCCTTGCCAGTTTGGGAAGAGAAGAGAGGAGGGGTGGTTTTCTTACTGAGTCAAATCTGGGCAACATCGGCTGCAGTAATCTTGTTGGACTGGAACTAGTTCAATGCACCCTTCCTCGAAATCTCGCAAATCTCCACCCTTGGCCCTCAGATCTCCTCCCTCAACTCACCGCTGCGGCGGCGGCGACGGCGGCGGCGGAGTTGACTGTCTGATGTCATCATCTTTTTATCCCGCGACTTCGGATTACTTCCGTTTCAAGTTCCAACGGGCTTGAATCGCCTCCCTTGAACGAACCCATCGCGCGCATCTTCAGTTGGGACGTGGGTGGCTGCTTATAACGCCGGGGAGGTTGGGCGGACAGATTCGGGCAATGGAAGCGGAAAAAAAATACTCATACAACAGTACTTGATTCTATCTACCTCCCAACCTGGCCAGACGAGCAAAGAACAATGCAAGCCGTCGCAGTGAGACTTCGCTTCTGCAAAGTACCTGGCACACGTTACATATGCGATTAAGAACACGGCAGAAGCCTCCCGGCATCTGCAATGGATTTCCGTACCTGACAGATGTCGACTGCTCTGGCCTTGTAGAACGGTAAGGCTATCATGGCGCCCTCCAACGATCTCATTTGGTGCCTGACGTCGCACCACTTTTCCCAACCTTGTCCATGCAGAGACCTGAGTCTCAGCAGATCCCATCGAGCCAATCAAAGGTCGGCCTGGGATATCAATTAGCGCCCTTCTTTTCCCTTTTCTGCCTTTTTTCGCCTCCCTTTGCCTACTTCTCTCTTTCTCCGAGCTCGCTGGCTGTCCTGCCTATCCAGGCCCCTTTTCTTGACTCTCCTTCCCCGGTTGCGCCGAATTTTAGCCACTCGGGAATGGTCTATCATAAGCCGAATGGACTGTGAGATGGAATGACGTATGGTCGCATTGCTTGCTTGATACGCGCGTGCGCAGTCTAGAGTGGTGCCTTTTCTTTTTCTGCCTCAATTAATTATTACCTCCCGCCAATGGACCAGAATTACCACGGTAATTTCTTGCCGATGGGACGGAGTTAGGGGAGTAAGCACTCGAGCACTCAGTAACCTGGAAGCCAATCAGGTGACCAACATCGGGTACCACCAACTGGAACAATAAGATCGGTTCCATGGACCTGCTGAAGCCATCGATTCCTTTTCCTAGGTACTATGTATGTGGGGAAGAATGGGAACTGAGTCAATTGACAAGGTACGTACGAGCTTATACGGGAT